CTCAAGAGTGCCTGAGAAGAGTGAAGGAAGGGGATCATAGGGCATCGGACGCCCCCCATGCTCCTGCTGATGCCAAGCCTTCCATCCTGCCAAGGACATGGTCTCATAGAAAAATGCTTCCACGGTGGTGATGAGGCAGTTGGACTCCAGGTCCAGCACTTGCCAGCCCTTGCTCGCTGCTGACACCCCCAAGTGCAACCCCCAGCGAGCCTTGGGCGCCAGCTTCCCCCCACGCTGCGACTGCGGCACCATATACTGCAGCATGCAGCCCCAAACACGCACCATACTGACATCGGGTTTGCGTTGGAAGGCGAGCTCGTACGGCGTCACACCAGAGGGCAGCGAGGCATGCTCCATGCAGTTGCGCACCCAGACGGCTTGTGATAGCGCCAGGTGCCACCAGTGATGCTGCACATCCATGTGCAGCAACATCGTCCGCACTGCCTCCACAAGGTTGCGCATCTCCCTCTCAGCCATCCCGTTCTGCTCCGACGTGTATGGGCACGTGATGTCGTGGATGATCCCCTTCTCGTCAAGGAAGAGCGTGAAGTCATGTCCCAGGAACTCGCCACCTTGATCAGTGCGCACCGCCTTCACTGTGGTCTTACACTGCCGCTCTGCCATCGAGAGCCACTTCTGGGATGCCGCCAGTGCATCACTCTTCTTGGCCAAAGGGTAGGCCCAGACGTACCGCGTCTTGCGATCCTTCAGCACCAAAAAGTAGCGGCTGCCGTCCTTAGCTGCTTCACGAAAAGGGCCACACAGGTCAGCATGCACCACTCCAAGCAGTTCATCCTCCTCTCCCACAGAAGGAAAAGTATGACGGGTGATCTTTCCCCCAACACAAGAGACGCATGGCATGCCTGACTTGCCCCCCTTCTCCAACTCCAAGCCCGTCACTGACCCATGAGCCGCAGTACGCTCTATGGCGTCAACACCAACGTGTGCGAGGCGCGCATGCCACGTGTCCACCTTAGATCACACGCCCGTCGCCAAAGTGCGCATGGCCACCGTTTCACCCTCCTGCTGCTGCGTCGAGCATGGCTGGAAGTTCGTGCAGAGGACACGTCCCTTGAACTCCGCACGACCAAGGAGCGACCCATCTGGCGCGCGCAGCAGAGTCACGTCCCCGGCATCCAGCAGCTGCACGCCACTATCACGCAGCTGCCCAACAGAAAGAAGACTCGCCTGCACTCCAGGTACGTACAGCACGTCTGGCACCAAGACAAGCCTGCCCCTGTCTCCAAGGAGAGCGACTGTGCCTCGCCCCTGAACCTCCTGAGGAGCGCCGTTGAAGCCGATAACATGTTTGATACCTCCGCCGCTGCTCATCTCCACAAAGGCAGAGCGATCTCCCATAAGATGGTGGGAGCATCCGCTATCAAGTAGCACGACGCTCGGGTTCGCCTTTACAGCAGCTGCAACAGCCTGTAAGCCCTCCCCGGCCTCAAGCTCCAACATGACGGGAGGAGGATGCTCTATAACGGGCTTCACCATCGCACATGATGACTGCCCGCTCCCCTTAGAACCATCACCCCCCTTGCCACTCGCGCTGCTGCCTCCAGAACCCTCTCCACCCTTGTCTGCCTCTTTATCCGCCCGCTGCCGATAGTACTTAGCGATATGACCTGGCTGCCCACACACGTAGCAATTCCCCTTGAACCCTCCTTTCCCCCCCTTTGACTGGCCATCCTTAGCCCCTTTCCACTTCTCCCCTCCCTCACTAACCCCACCCCCATGCTTAGGCTGCTGCTGCTGTGCCGTAGTGGGAGGGGAAGGGGATGCAGTCTGCTGAAAATAGGGCTTACCCTTCTTGGTAAACACTTGGTTCGCCTGGGGAAGAAATTGGTCATTCCGTCCCTCCGCCGCCAACGTACACTCTTCCTCGATAATGTAGCTAGCGAGGGTGTCCTCGTCCAGCTCCTTGCGCACCTGCGGCAATTTCAGCATCCTACGTAAGAGGTTGTTCTGCTGCGGCAACCCCTTCACGACGTGAGTAATGTACGACGCCTGCGAGTAATCTACGTCGGCCATCCTCAGGTTCACTAGGATCTGCTGCGCACGGTTGCAATAGGACGTGGCGGACTCGTGCTCTCCCATCTCGAGGTTAGTGAGCGCCTGCTCTAACTGACCTATGTACAGGTCGTCCTTCGCCATATACGTGCGCATAATAAACTGCCATGCCTGAAAGTCGGCATCTACCTTCATGCGACACGCCTTAAGGGCGATCTGTACGGTTGGGGAGTAGCATCGGGAAATCGTGGTGAATGTCAGTAACTGCATTGCGCGAAATTGTGTGACAAGCGCAACTGCATGCGCTGGGGGAGCAGGTGTGGTACCGTCGATGAATCGCTTAAGCTGGGCGATCTCAAGCTGAGGCTCGATAGATTCTACCCACGTCAACAGGTCGTGACGTCCTTCTAATGGCCTAGGTACGACGATCTTGTCTGGAGTGAATTTGAAGAAACCATAGTTGGGGGCTATTCCCTCGTCCCTCGTCATCGATCCAATTTGGGGAACGCCCGGCATAGCCTCACTATCGTACTCCTCCGCATTCCCTCCTCCAGCAACGCTCCGCCGTCCTACATTTGCACGCTCTCGTGATGCTGCCGCTCGATGAGCACGCTCCTGTACACCGCCGACGCTAGCCGTACTAAACCGAGTCGGTCCTCGTAGGACCCCACGTGACATTAACCCATCAAGCTCCTCGTCATCGCTATTTCCACCATCGACAGCCATATCCCACGCACTAGTACCTCCCGCAGCTTGCTCAACATTCTCTACACGTGGCGAGGGATGATCGCGACGCCGACGAGCGTGTAATCCCTCCTGCATGAGCTCGTACTCGATATCACTAAGCTCACCACGAGAATGGCGGGCTACGAGATCCTCCTCTAATGCGCAAATATTGCCGGCCTCAACGTTCGCCTCCTCCGTACTCATCCTTTACGACGTCTCTATAAGGTACCACAAATTAAAATAAATTGTCCCTTCCTTAAATCCCTCGTCTCGGGGTCACCTCACAAGGGTCCTTAGACGAGTGGTAATGAATTACCAAACGCCCTATCCTTGGGTCCGAGAGCGTAACTGGAGGGAAATTAAGAGAGGTTCAACTTAAATTAATTAGCGCCCTTCACTAACACTGCACGCCAAGGCGAGTATACTAACGAACGTCGACGGAAAGCTATGCGTGTTCATTCCACGCTCACCGCACCATGAAGGAATACTATGGAGAGCGTAACGATAGTGAGAGAGTTTCTGATATGAGAAAGGTGTTGCGCCAGCAACTCAGTAGCGTTTAAGTAGCGTTCGTCTCCAAGGACTCAGTGAGAATTCAAGTAGCAATTGGACTTCACAAGAAAAGTAATATGATCCATGAATACAAAAACAAACATACATGCAAATATAGGCAAGCAAGAGTTGCACAAATGTTGCGTGGCGCTTCGGTGTAACCCAACCCCATGAAAGTGGTGTGCGGGTGGGTGAACGCGCCCCGCCAAACTTCCATCCAACTCAGCAGCAAAATGTACTACGTGCACGCCACTCCAGCCAACACTGCAAGGAGTGGCGTGACTCTCAAAGAAGCACACATAACTCCCAAAGACTCATGCCTCCTCACACCGAATCCACCACTTCTCCAACCATCACGGAGATCGGTGCCGAGGCATTAGGTCATCAGTCGCCGACCTGCCAAGTCAAACGTTTCGCGAGGGCCCTTGCTGTCATAGGGCCCTCTAACAGAAATGCGGCCCAGCAAGTCGCGTTCTTCGCGTTCGCAAATCTTCTCACGCTTCTGGCAAGCAGACTGCAGGAAGCTGACGGAAACCGTCAACCTGACGGCCAGCCGTCTGCCGCTCCGCCTCAAGCTGCTTACGGTATGCCTGGTGGGGCTTCAAGTGGCACAAGGAGCCCAAATCCCAGCTTCATGTCTGCTCCAGCTCTTGGAGGTCTCGGGTTCGATTCCTGCCGTCAGCCTAATAACGGAGCTTTCAACAAGCAGGTCCAGTCACTCTCCTGTCCCATCATTACAGGGCCCGACTCTGTCACAACTTTTGGCAGCGGCTGGCAAGTTTCAGGGCAGATTTCTGACTGCGGTCAGAGTCACGGGCAACCGACGGAGGTACTATTACATCATCCTGCTAACGCGGCAAGAACGCTGACACCACCACTGCCACCTGTCGCCGTTGCAGCTCAAGATCAGATCCATTTCGCAGTGGATTGGCCACAGGAGAAATGCAGGCGTTCTCGCCGGCGGAAGTCATTTGGAAGCGGTGCAAAGACACCTGCTAACACTCCTAGACGGAGATATCTTACTATGCAGTCCCCTGGAGCTGAAAAGAAAGCACGTGCATCAGCAGCAGCAGCAGATGCAGTGGAGGTGCAATAGATTGCATTGCATCCCCAAGACCAGCAAATCCAACAGCAGCAGCACCAACAGAAGCAGCAGCAGCAGGGGCCGCAGCAGCAGCGGAAGCAGCAACAGACCCAGCAGCAACAGCAACAGCAGTGGAGGCAGCAGAAAAAGCAGGTCCCCGCCTCCCTCTAGTACCCAGCAGAAAAGCAATCCCTCCAGTACCCCTTCTCCCAAGTAGCGGGGAGTGAGGAAGAGACAGTTAGGCCATTGGGTGGCAGAAATAGAGGACACAGCCAACAACACCCGCAAGTGGCTCGGAACGTTTTCCTCCCCTGAAGCTGCTGCCCGTGCGTTCGACCAAGCTGCTCGGGAGCTCCGCGGGCCCCGGGAAAAGACGAATTTTCCATTGCCCGAGGAGCCGGTGGGCAGCGGTGGGGAGAGGGATTACGACAGGGAGAGGGTTGTGAGAAAAAGGTCCCAAAAACGAAGTGTGGGTTTACGTGGGGGTTTCGATTCTTCTGGCGGTGATGGGGATGGGGTTTACCCTAGAAATGTGCGTGGGATATGTGATGGTGGTGAGGGAGGGGAAGGGTTGTCATTCCCTAGAAAGAATGCAGCCGTACGGGAAGGGACTAGCAGCGTCGGCATGAGTGGAGCAGTATCGAATGGGAAGGAGCAGGAGATGCAAGATGGGGAGGAGGATAGAGAGGAGGCTGGGGAGGAGAGTTGGGAGGGGAGTGCAGAGGGGATTGAGGAGGAGGATGATGGAGGGGTGGATGGAGAGGAGGATGGAAGGGAAGATGGAAGGGAGGATGGAAGGGACAATGAGGATCAGTGTGCACGTGGATGCTTCATGGATTTGGATTCACGCGATATTACAAGCACAAATACAGAGAATGCATGCTTGATTGCTCTGGACTCAAGCCAGAGTGCATGTGCAGCTGCAGGCAACCTCACAGGACCAGCATGGGCATGTGCATTTGCCGCCCAACCATCTTATCCTTCTTTTGCCAGCTCTGAAAGCACAGTTCTTCATGGTTCCAAACTTCCAGCCCCTGATGCTAAGGTAAATGTACATGGAAATCGTTTGGTGCAAGAGGAAGCATCGGTAATGGGAGGAGCGGGAGATCTGGCAGCACTGAGCGGGTATGTTTGTGATGCTCCTGGAATGGCAGATGGAGAGTGCTTGCTGCTTGGGAATTCTCTGGAAGCGGCACCGGTCGCGAGAGGATCAGATAACCTGGCAGAGCTTATCATAGATGCCCCTTATGCGCCAAAGATCACAGATAACGAGAGTTTGCTGCCCGAGGATGGGCTGGAAGTGGGACCAGTCACGGGAGGAGCAGGTAATCTGGCCGAGCTGATTGCAGATGTCTTCGAGTTTCCCAATGGCTTTTCGAATGGCTTCCCGAATGGCTTTTCGAATGGCTTCCCGAATGGCTTTTCGAATGGTCACCCCGAGATAATGATGCTGCTACGTCTGGAAGACTATGGGTGTGCAGGTGAGAACAAGCTGGCAGGGCCAACTGGAGAGAAAGGGGAGGACGAGGGGAAGGCGAAGCAGGGAGGAGGGGAAGGGGGGCAAGGGGATGCGGAGGAGTGGGATACTGTGCTGAGCCACATACAGCAGGTTGCTGCTGCTGCCTCTGTTGAGTCGGATAATGTTGGGCTGGACACTTGGATGCTTGAGGACATAGTAGCCCTCAATGGGTTGACTATAGAGGGTGTGACTATAGAGGGTGTGGCTCCAAATGGTGTGACTGTGGAGGGTACGGCATCAAAGTGTGTCACTGTAGAGGGTGTGACAGCAGCAGGTGATGCGGAGGAGATTTAGCATAGGAGCACACCAGCAATTGTGGATGATCTTCGCCTTTTATTTTCCCTACAGTAGTGATGCTGTGTGGCATCAGTATTTGCTCGCCTATGTCCTTTTCCTACATGGGACCTCGATTTAATTATACCTCCCCCCCTCCCCCTAGAGACAAAAACAAGAAACAACCCCCTGCAGAAATAAATAGTTGGCTACTTGCCATGAAATTTGCAAGCTTGACATGGCCAAATGCAAGTGTTTGGAACAGGGTTTAGGATTCACTTTTAGGTGCCCTGATCAATTAGGGTCCCCCCCGTGTAAAAACCCTGATTGACAGTGTTCTAAAAAAAAAAAAAAACTTGAAAGATCAGTGTTGCCTTTGAAAAAAGCCTGATGCATCAGTGTTGCATAAAAAAAAAAGGCTGTTATCAGTGTGCCAAGTCTCTATTTTAAATACAAAGTCAATAGCAGCCTTTTAAAACATATCATCAGTGCTTGCCAGCACGGCTCAGACCTAACGCGCCGCAGCTGCAACCAACGGTGCAAGAAGCCTCGCAGCCTTCCAGCACCACTTTGTCAAATGTTTATATGTTCTAGATGTTAGTTATTATAGGCTACACTGAGTTACCCTCTAAAGGGTACAACATTTTCTACCTCGACACTTGTTCCTAGCCTATTTAAAGATGGTATTAGAGTAGGTATTTTTTCTCCCGCCCATGCTTCCGCTCCCTCCCTTAGCCGGTCCCGAGGCGCCCGCCCCTTAGGCTCCGTTTCATCGCGGGTAGGACGGCCCCCGCGGGCCTCGTTTTTCGTCGCGTTTAAAGGACCCCGCTGGCCCCTCGTTTTGTCGCGCTCCAGAAGGCCCCCCCCCCCCCGCCCCCCACGGGCCCGCGTAGTCGTGCTTAGCCCGCAACAGCCGCGCGTGCACGAAGCAGGCACACACGCACCAGCAGCAGCAGCGCGCGCGTTAGCCAGCGGCAGCCGCGCACGCCACTGCAGCACGCGCATTGCAGCAGCAGCGCTCGCATTGCAGCAGCAGCGCGTGCATTTCTGCAGCAGCGCGTGCATTTCTGCAGCAGCGCGTGCATTTCTGCAGCAGCGCGTGCATTGCTGCAGCAGCACGGCTAGGCAGCAGTGCGTGTTACTGCAGCAGCACGGCTAGGCAGCAGCGCGTGTTACTGCAGCAGCACGGCTAGGCAGCAGCTAGCCGCCAGCAGCTCGCCGCCCGCAGCAGCTAGCCGCCAGCAGCTAGCCGCCAGCAACTAGCCGCCATCAGCAGCTAGCCACCAGCAGCAGCTAGCCACCAGCTAGCCCCTCCCACCCGCCCACAGCCCCTTTCAACTGCTCACAGCCCCTTCCAACCGCCCACAGCCCCTTCCAACCGCTCACAGCCCCTTCCAATCGCTCACAGCCCCTCATCACGCACGCACACCACCCAGGACCACCCGACCTCCGTTGGTTCGACACCCGCGTCACTCATACTCATAGTGTTTCGCACCGTCGCGGCTGGAGGCCGCTCCACTTAGCTGTTTATGCTAGTCCTGACGTTCGTTGTTAGCTAGGTCTCTCCTCGCTCCGCCAGCCCCTCGAATGATTCTCTGGCTCCTCGATCAGCTCGTCAGCCGTGCCTCCTCCAGCTGTCTGCTCCTAGCTCAGCTAGCTCCCAGCTCCGTTTGTTACTAGACTGGCGTTCCTAGCTCAGTTTTCCTCCGTGCTCCGGCAGTACCTCGCCTAGTCCCACCTGGCCCACGCGTCGGGTGCCCTCCAGGAACCACCGCGTCCCGAGCCCCTCCCTGCCGTGCCCCCCCCGACTCCGGAGGCGCAGGCGGACTACGCTCGTCTCGTCTTAGCGCGGGACGTTTGGGACTCCCGTGACGCTGCGGCTGCACTCGCGCTGACCGAGCTCCTTCCACCGGCTGAGGCCGCTCACTTCGACCTGGTAGAGACTGCGAAGGAGGTGTATGATGCTATTTCTCTGCCTCCCTCAGCCGCATCCTCATGCCGTTCGTGTTTCCCGACCTCGGCTCGTTTGCGGCTGTCTCTGACCTAGCCACACACTTGCGCTCCCTTGTCGCTAGCTACCGAGCAGCTTGCATTGAGGCTCAGCTTCCTGTTGCCCCTCCTCCTATCTAGCTCACCGTCCACTGGGTAGTCACTCGTCTCCTTGACCGCGTCTCCACTGCCCATGACGCACTTCTCTAGCAGCACCCCAGTGAGCTTACGATTGATCTTCTCAAGACCACTCTCGAGAGTAACCTCCTCTCTGTTGCCTCAGCTACTGACGCAGTTGCCCCTTGTCTGTTTGAGGGGTGTGCTGTCCCCCAGCTTCCTACCTTCACTGCTACTCGTGCCTCTGCTGCTGTGTCGGTCTCTGAGGACACTGCAGCTGTTTCTACCGCTGACATGCAGAAACGGGGCAAGGGAGGCAAGAAAGGGGGGAAGGGGGGTGGCGGCGGTGGAGGAGGTGGCGGTGGTGGAGGCGGCCCTGGGGGCGGCAGTGGTGGCGGTGGTGCCCCAGGCGGAGGGAGCTCTGGAGGAGGTGCTGACCCACCTGCTGGAGGAGATTCGACCAGCGGTGGTACGGGGCCCCAGCAACAGCAGCCACAGCAGAGACAACAGCAGAAGCAGGGACAGCAGAAGTGGCAGGCACCACAGCAGTTTCAGTCGTGGGGACCCCCACTGCAGTGGGGTCCGCAGCAGTACTGGGGCCCTCCGCCACACTGGGGACCTGGAGGACCCGGGAGCGCTGGCCGCATCAGCAGCACTACCAGCTGGGCCCCTCGCCCCCCGCGGCGCAACACCGGCCCCTGCGACCACTGGTGCATCACTGGACTGGGCAGTCCCTGTGTCTGCGGCCGCAACGACCACTATGCGGCGCGGTGCTTTCGCCGCCTCGACGACCTCTACCGTGCGCGCTAGGGTCCTGAGGCAACCACCTTGCGCTCGACCCGCCTGCTAGCCTGTAAGATTCCTGTATTTGAACTGTCTATGGATGATGCTCGTCAGTATGCTTTGTATGCTGATGTTGACTATAGTGCTGATGGATATGTGTGCTCGCGTGCTCGTAGTCTAGGATGCTTGCCTCCTCTTAGTGTACACCTGTGCCTCTCTAGTCTAGGTGCTTGCGTCTCTGCTCTAGGTGCTTGTGTAGCCTCCGGACCTGCCACGCCTCCGGCTGAGACGTCTCTGTCGTTCACGCTGGACTCTGGCGCGTCGCAGTGTTTCTTCCGCGACCACACGACCCTCACAGCACTCCTTGCTCCGGTTCCGGTAGCTCTGGCTGATCCTTCTTCAGGACCAGCCATTGCGCGCAGCTCCACCACCCTCCCGTACCCTGTGGTCCCCTCCGGTGTCCTGCGCGGCCTCCACATCCCCTCGTTCACTCGGAACTTGGTGGGTGTTGGATACCTCTAGGACAGGGGGATCACCGTTACCTTTGTGGGGGGTGGGAGGACTGCGGTCTGTACAGGCGCCGCTACAGGTGCTGTTCTCGCCACGTTCAGCAGGGAGTCCCGCTCTGGTCTCTACGTTCTCCACACCGAGCACTCCCCGGTTACTTCCTCCGTCCAGGTCGCTGCGTCCCCTCAGGTCCCAGTGTCTAGTCCGGTTGCTGTGTCAGGTCAGGTAGTGGTGTCTGGTCAGGTTGCTGCGTCTTGCTCCTGTCGGTCCCTTGCCCACCCGACCGTCTTGTGGCACCACCGCCTTGGCCACCTGACGCTCCCCCGCCTCCGCTGCATGGCCAGACACAGTCTTGTCTCAGGTCTCCCGCACGTCTTTTCGTCGCTCCGTCCCTCGCTTGCCCCACCCTGCACTCCTTGCGTCGCCGGCTGCCTGCGCGCCACTCCGCACTCCTCCTCCCTTCGTCCGGCCACTGCTCCCTTCCAGACTCTCCACCTGGACGTCTGGGGCCCTGCCCCCACGCTGGGACCTGAGAGGGAGTGCTACTTTCTAGTGGTCGTTGACGACTACTCCAGGTACACCACAGTGTTTCCTCTTGCGAAGAAGTCCGAGGTGACTCCTACGCTGATCCGGTGGCTTCTGGCCACTGAGGGCGCTCGTGGTAGTCGTGTCCATTGTCTCCACTCCGACCGTGGGGGTGAGTTTCGCTCCGGCGTCCTTGCCGGGTTCTGCGGCGAGTAGGGCATCAGACAGTCCTGGACGTTGCCGGAGTCCCCACAGCAGAATGGGGTTGCTGAGCGCTGCATTGGCTTGGTCATGGACATCGCCCGCACGTCCATGATCCATGCTCGTGCGCTCCATTTTCTGTGGCCCTACGCGCTGAGCTACGCCGCGCACCAGCTGAACCTCCAGCCACGTGTCTCGCGGCCTGAGGTTTCACCGACCAGTCTTTGGACTGGGTCCCTTGGTGTTGGGTCGGCCTTTCACGTCTGGGGCTACCTTGCGCTTGTCCGCGACACCTCTTCGGAAAAGCTCTCGGCTCGCGCCATCCCCTGTGTCTTCCTTGGTTTCCCGGTGGGCTCTCCCGACTACTCCTTTTACCACCCACCACTCCACCAGTTTCTAGACTCTCATGACATCCGGTTTCACGAGTCAGTGTCCTCCTACACCCGGTACCCCTATCGAGGTCTCCCGGTTCCCCCTCCCCCCCTCTTCCTCGCACCCTCTCCTCCCCCTGCTCCCACTCCCCCGGTACCCCCGCCCCCCCCTGGTCCTGCCCCGTCAGGTGTGTCTCGTGCTACCCCTCTCCCCTCGGTCGCGCGTCAGGTAGCATCTCCGTCCCCGCAGGCCTCCTCACAGTCCCTTCAGCAGCCTTCGGCACTTTCGCGACAGGTACTGAAGCTGGAGGTGCTGGTACTAAGGAGACGGGAGCTGGAGGCTCACCTACTACGTCGCCCACTGCGCGTCCCCACCGCCACGACACCCATTTCCAGGCCCTTCGCCAGCTTGAGCGTGAGGAGCAGGAGCGCATGGAGCAGGAGAGGCAGGAGCTGCGGCAGTTGGACCAGCAGCAGCAGCAGCCGCAGCAGCAGCAGCAAACGCCGCCGCCGCCACCTTTGCAGCAG